AGGATTATTCAGTGACATCCCTAAACCTACCACCTGGTTTTGTTTGGTACGGAGGTAGGGGGAGGGCCCCACACCCTGTTCCGATTTTTTCTCCATCTCCCACCACAGTGAGGCACTAGTCCAGGAATACCACAGGGGCTGTCCTTGTCTTCAGTGAACACGCAAAATAGTACCTACGGATAAACTGTGTTCTTGCCTCAGTACTTTAGAAACTATGAAACTTTCCTTCAGTTTCATAAAGAATGAAAGTATTTTTTTCAGCTTGAGACTGTGTATTTTAAGCTTTAGTTTGAAGACAGTTGATTTCATGACCAAATTATGAACTTTTGAAAGAATTTTCATGAGAATACTCATCAGTCAAGACTGCAGCTGGAAATGAACAACTCTGACATACTACTATACCATTTTAATGAGACTTCACATATGGGAAATTTTTCTTTCACCAAGAGTGTTATAAATATGATCCTCACGGATGTGGACTTTAAAAAATGGGGATATCAAGCAAAGTAAATCTAACTTTGGAAATTTCTTTGGCATCACCAACTGATTTAAACATACTTTAAATAAGAAACCACAAACACGAATTTTAAAACTGTAACAACTCACAAAACAAAAACACCTCATTCTCTAAATCCAAAGCTGAGACAACTACTAAATCCCATGCTTAATATAGGTGACCTGTGTAAACAACGTGAGAGCAAAATTTTAAGCATGCCTTTAATTTGGTCCTTCCAAACTCAATTCCAACCCGCAATCCAATCCTGGAAAACGCTATCAGATGTTCAAGAATTTTTATTCTAATTTATCCTACTGCTTCACAAACCCACACTGGCTGCCAAACACACATCAAGCACCAACCAAGGAACCAACCAAACCAACGCCTCATGGGACCGGCACTAATGACACACGTTGGCATTTTCTGAAGCAGGATTTCTTGGACCTAAAATTCCAGCTATTATTTAAATCATATCCCTACTATAATTAACTAGCAAAGCTGAAACTAAATCAGACAGACGGGCCAGGCCTCCAGCCAGATGCTAAATGTCAGAATCATAAACCACTATGTGGATGTACCACTCCAGCACTGTCCAGGCCAGGAAGCCACAGGCTACCTCTCATAATGAGGGTCTTTGAAGAAGGCAGTGATTGCATTCCTTTGGGGATCTAGGAAAACACACTTTAGAAGAATTCCCACTCTCCAATAGCAGCGTCATCACAAGGCCTCAGAGGGTTTGTCATTGCCATATGTGCCCTGAGCATTGTGCTGGACACTATGAGGTCTCACCCAGGTAGAATAGGGTCTATTTTTTTTTGGAGGGGCGGTGGGGGCAGGGTCTTACTCTGGTTGCCCAGGCTGGAGTGCAGTGACAAGATCTGAGGGGAAGTTTTACCATGAGATGGGGTTTTGCCACGTTGCCCAAGCTTATCTAGAATTCCTGGACTCAAGCGATCCACCTGGCTCGGCCTCCCAAAGTGCTGGAATTACGGGCATGAGCCACCATGCCCAGCCAGGGTCTCACTTCTACATAAGCTTACAGTCTAGGGGAAAAAGACACCATCACATTCTCTATCAGACAGCTTTGTACATGATATTTTTATGATATTCATTATGCAAATACAAATGGCATAAAAAAACTGAGCTATATAAGTCTGTACTGAAGATATCTCAACAGAGTGACCAAGTTGCAGATACATTATTAGTTCTTTGCAGCATTCCTAATAGCAAGCGACCCAACAGGATGGGCCATCTTACATTCAAGTTCATAGCCCAGCAGGGGTTCTCAATCGTTAAGAAAGCCTTGCCTCCTCTGTCCCCCTCCAAGTTTTGGATATGCTCCAGCTAGGGAGTTAGAACACCCCTCCCATTTGAAAATCACGGCTATGGACTTAAGTAATAAATACTGTGACTGCCCAAAGAATCCCTGCCTACTTCCATGGAGGGGCACAATTCTTCAGGAAGGTGTTGAGATTCTTTGGAGAAGGTATCTTAGAGAAAGGGATATTTCACCAAAATCAGAAAGGCTGAAGGGCTAGGATGTGATGGAGAAAGTGTGAAGCTATTCTTGGAGGATGGAACTTCCCATGAAAAGGTTCAAATGTGGGAGAGAAAGATGAACACAAGAGCCAAAAAATGTTGGGGAGGGGGCAGGTGTCGTGCGGGTACATTTAATGAGAAAATAGGAGTGAGACTCCCGAGGAAGAATGGAGTTAACTAGTAATGAACCATGTTGGCCCTTAGCATTCCTGCTCAAGATAACTGCCTAGAGGCAGCCTGGCTCACTATTCCAGAGGCCCACTCCTTTCAAAATCCAGCTTACATTCTTAAGATCCTTACCATCCTAACTGATCAAGGGTCTCTAGGATCTAAACTACGCCACAAGATTCTAACAATCACTGTTAATAAGAAATACAAACCACGGCTACAAAATACGGGATTTTTTCATTTTCCTCCCAGAAAAATTCCCATGTATGTCACATATTGTCACACAAACAAAAAGGATTTGTGAACTAACTTAAAACACTTGTCACAAATAACTTGACATGGTCTAGATGATAACTAACAAAGTCTTCCCAGGGTGAATGGCAAACATTAAACAATGCCAAATTTCCATTCTAATTTTAACATCATAACCAACGTCTTTATTTCCAATATTACCTTGCTTTCTTCGTACTTTCAAAATATAACTAATAACCACGTAACATCAGCCTTAAAAATACTGAGCGAACAGCTGACTAACAGTGAAACGAATAGCCCAAGCAGGGCTGCCCTCACACTGGGGCCATCACAGGGCACTCTACGTAATAAAGCCCATTACAGAGAGCAGCAGTGACCTAGTGTACAATGGGAACAATGCCCCGGACTTGTGTAATTTGAAGGCCAATTCCTTCTAGAGGAATTACTAAGCAATAGACTTTTTAAAAGAAGATTCAGAGAATGTTTAGAGCTAGAGGTCAGTCACTTCAATCAAGCCTTACCCGTCTTTCTGTTCATCAGAATATTTCGGTACTTTTTAGAACAGATTTAGTCAAGACAGAGTCAATGCATTTGAATTTATCTTCTGTATTTCTTCACGCCGTTTTTAAAAAGTCAGTAAGAAATACTGTTTAGAAGTTTCACATGATTTTAAAAAAAATATAAAAGCAGCTTTTCAAAACTGGTGTTGGTATGGTTTTTCCAATACAAAGAACACCTCTCCCCTAAACCCAGCTTCCCAAAATCCTTCCTCTGTTTATGGTCAATTTATCAGCTTCAACTCCCATCCTACCCCGCCCCTCGGTGGAGTTTAGGAGCCCAGGGCTGGCTATTTACAACACAGCATTTAAAATAACAAGGAATCTTATTGTAAAAGCATTCCCCTCCCACCAAAAGAAAGCGCCTCCCACCAACCCTGTGATTTGCTAAGGAACATGTACGGCTCCAATTTACAGTATTTAAACTATTTCAAACTCGATGAAGAAGCCAGAAGAATCTCTTCCAGTTCTATAATTCATTGATTCTAGTAATTCACCTTGGTAATTTTGCAAGACAGGATAGCCTCTGCTCAGATACCTTAAACTGCCTGCCTGAGATTTGGAAAGTTATTAAATGTTCACCAACTTATTTTCAAAGGAATGCCGGTATATTCATTATTCTATTATTATTATTACATTCAGTGCCTTCTATACCTGCATGAGACAAAATTTTGTAAGACACTGAATAACACATCTTGCTAATTACAATTAAATAGACGTCATAAACAGTTTATACATTCTCATTTTGGAATTTTTTTTCTGTTACTACCTTATTACAACGGTTATTTCAGAAAAAAAAAAAACTTAAAACATACAAAGCAGCTTACCAAAAATATACAAGATTTAGTACAAATTTCCCAATAATCAGCCATGAGTTACTTTTTCCATGATTAAGGGAAGGCCCCTCATCTTCTAAGTTAAAATTTTAAGCAGAACACTTGAGTTAAGATCACACACATTTTGTGATTTCGCATTCAAATTTCAGTATATTTGTTTGTTATTAAAATATGGGCAAACTTTCCTCTAAAAATGTACATATTTGTTGAATATTTTGTGAAAAGAGCTGTTCAGCTATTTATCTGAATTATTTACCGGCCAAACGTATACTCTATGGCTTAGTAGTTAAGGTGAAATAATTTTTTTAATGCTATTACATTAAAAACACTCTTGGCCGGGCGCGGTGGCTCTCGCCTATAATCCCAGCATTTTGAGAGGTCGGCGGATCACGAGGTCAGGAGATCGAGACCATCCTGGCTCACACGGTGAAACCTCGACTCTACTAAAAATACAAAAAACTAGCCGGGCGAGGTGGCGGCGCCTGTAGTCCCAGCTCCTCGGGAGGCTGAGGCAGGAGAATGGCGGGAACCCGGGAGGCGGAGCTTGCAGTGAGCTGAGATCGCACCACTGCACTCCAGCCTGGGCGACAGAGCGAGAATCCGTCTCAAAAACAAAAACAAAAAACAACAACAAAAAAACACTCATATCCATCCTAGAGAAGCGTGAAAATGTGAAAGTTCTTGGTCAAAATTCTTGTCAGGTGGGGCGCGGGTGGCTCACGCCTGTAATCCCAACACTCTGGGAGACCGAGGCAGGTGGATCACCTGAGGTCAGGAGTTCGAGGGCCAGCCTGGCCAACACGGCGAAACACGTCTCTACTAAAAGTACAAAATTATCTGGGCTGGCGGCGGGCGCCTGTAGTCCCAGCTACTTGGGAGGCTGAGGCAGGAGAATCGCTTGAACCTGGGAGACGAAGGTTGCAGTGAGCTGAGATCGCGCCACTGCCCTCCAGCCTGGGAGGCAGAGCGAGATCCTGTCTCAAAACAACAACAACAAAATTTTTGTCAACAAAATCTGAAAGTTAAGTTCTCTCATAGTTATCCTCGCAAAATAGCATTTCTCATCCAAAGGCCTCAGAAGAGCCGCCAGCCGCCGAGCTCACTGGGGACCCTGCTACCGGCTGCTTGGCGCCCCGGTCGGGTGGGTTTTACCTTTTTCAGGGTCCATTCCTCGCCTCGCCCCCCGCTCCCACCCCTGGGGACACTGGAAACTCGGACTTTACAAACGGGTTTGCTCCAGGCCGCACTCCATGCCCGAGGGAAAGCTCCCCAGAACTTCTGGAGTTGGGCAACGATGGCAAGATGTGAACGATGTCAGGATCCCCGTCTCCGGAGTCCGGCTGCGAGCTAAGCGCAGGTGAGCTTGCATCAGAGGAGAAAGCCAAGCCCCCGACACGTCGCTGAACTAGGGCACGGGAATGGCGTGTTATGCAACGGCCGCCGCTCGCGTGGCCACGAAAGCGCTCCCGCGGCTCGGGCC